GTTGTTCAGTTGTTTCAGTCATGTCCAACTCTTTGTGACCTCATTTTGTGGTTTTCTTGGCAGAGATACCNGTTGTTCAGTTGTTTCAGTCATGTCCAACTCTTTGTGACCTCATTTTGTGGTTTTCTTGGCGGAGATACTGGAGTGGTTCACCATTTCCTTCTCCAGCTTATTTTACAGATGAGGAAACTGAGGCAAAGAGGACTTGCCCAGGGTCACACAGCTAGTAAGTGTCTGAAGCTAGATCTGAACTCAGGAAGACGGGTCTTTCTGACTTCAGGCCTGGTGCTCTATCCACTTCTTCACCTAGCTGCCCTCAAGGATGGAAAGAAGGTGCATTTTCTCAACTCTTCTCCAGGGTGCCAAGCTTGAGAGCCCAGGTCTTCTGATTAAAAATCTCTTAAAATAGCACTATGCTAACAATATCTCTCAATTTTATTGCTCTTCAAGGTTTAAAATGTGCTTTACTCACAACACTAACCAGAAAGAGATAGCAGGAGAAAAAGAAAAAACAAACAACTGAAGAAGAGACTGAGATTCAAAGAGGAAAGAGACTCTCTGAGCATTACAGAGCTACTAAGTGTCCAAGTTATGACTCTATCTCCATTCCTTCAGCCTACAAACACAGCTATTTTTTCCCCTCTATATTATACTTAGACTTTTCACCAAACCAATCTTCATAAGCCACACAGGGCAGAGACTATTTCTAAGAATTCCATCTCGTTGGACAAATTTAATAGAGCCAAGTTGAGGATAGTGGTGGGAGGTGGAAGAGGGTAAGATATCTACTATACGACCATTGCTGGGTGGGACTGTGGTAGACTGGACACAGAAGTCATAAAGGACTTCAGAGGCCATCTGTCTAGTCTCCTTATTTTGTAGACGAGGGAAACCGAGGCCCAAGGAGATGAAGTGACTTGTCTAATGTCACATGGGTAGTAAGTGTCCGAGCCAGGATTTGAACTCAGTTTCTCTGACAAGATCCATTGATCTTTCCACTGAGCCATAATAGAGGATGGTCCTTGGGGTTGAAGTGGAAATGGAGGCTGGCCAGGGGGAATGGGACTGGGGGCAGGCTAGGGTTGAATTTACTCTGGGGGAGAAGGTAGTGGCTAGTATGGTCAGAGGTGAGATGTTTTCCCTGCTGATTTTTTTTAAGATAAGAAAACTGAGTGCCATATTGGTGAAGAAAGACCTGAATTCAAATCCTCCCTCGGCAATTAACTAGCATTGTGACCTTGAGAAAATAATTTCGTGATTTTCTTTGTGCTTTACTTTCTTCCTCTGTAAAATGAACCTGACTCTATCAGGTTCTATGGACTATATGGACTATAGGCTCTATGGACTACCTAGTATACTGTCCTTCATGCCATGCTAGTAGGTTTGAGAGGTAAGGGAGGGGAAGAGTCAATGATAACCCTAAAGCTTCAACCCTAAACCCAGGAGACATGCTTTTACACCTTGGGTCTTGATCTTCTCTTTTTTATCACTTTACTTGACATTGGCTAAGTCTTCCAGGGTTCAATAGGGTAGGCTGGATTTGGTTGCCATGACAGGCATAGGCAAGAGAGGGGTTTTAGAAGAATGTTTTCCCAGGGTATGATTCTTCTGAGATGTGACTTCTGCAGGGAACTTTCATGTCTCCCTACTCCAGTGATTTCCCCATAAATATTCTCTATGCTACAGATTGTCCATCCACCCCACCTCCACCTCCATTCCATGAAGTGTATTTTTCTTTTTTCCTTTTTTTTTTGGCTAGGTAATGTGGTTAAGTGACTTGCCCAGGGTCACACAGCTAGTAAGTGCACCACCTAGCTGCCCCTGAAGGGTATTTTTCAAGGAGATAGGAATGTAGTTAGGGTGCTGGCTATGGCTTTTATCAGGTTCCTTGGTTGCTGACAGTCAGGATTCTGGACCCCTGACCCATGTTTGCCCAAGAGAAGAAGAAAGGGTTTCAGACATATTAACCTCAGGGAATCCCTGGTCCCAGGAAGGAAACATGGCCCCTGCCTTCAAGGAGTCACCCATCTGCAGAACATAATCCCTGGAAACTCCTAGTCTTTGGAAAAGCCACAATCCCCAGGAACCTAGGTCTCCTAATTGCTAGGCCAGGGTCCACTCCCCAGTCTGGACTCTGGGATATTGTTTAAAGGGAAGTAGGATTTTTGGGTGGGGAGAAGCACTTAGAAGCAAGAGGACATCATGAAAACACCAGGTAATTCTTTTTTTAATTTTTTTTTTTGGTGAGGCAATTGGAGTTAAATGACTTGCCCAGAGTCACACAGCTAGTGAGTGTTATGTGTCTGAGGCTGGATTTGAACTCAGGTCCTCCTGACTCTAGGGCAGGTGCTCTAACCACTGGGCCACCTAGCTGACCCTAACACTAGGTTATTGTATAGGGTATTCACAGAGCTGTAACTTGAAATTTTTGTACCCAGGCCAAGCAATATAAAACTCACTTGGGCATGTAACTAGTTGCTTCCTATTTTAACTGAGTATTTTTTGTTAACAAAGTGCTAAGCTTATTTGTTTCTAAGCAGCTGAAGGACTGTAAGTGTTATTATTAGCACCTTCTAAATTTCAGCAACCCAGGAGAAATCCCCTGTTGCCATACCTTGGGTACAATCCTAGGAGGAGTTTAGGAACAGGAGACTTAGAAAGGAGTGTGTCTGTGTGGGTATGTGAAAGCAGTTGACAAAGGACAAACTGTGCCAACATCATAGTTTTGCTGAGTGCTGTCTGGGCTCCGTGAACCCAACAGATGTGGAGATAGGTACCAGTAATGTCAATGAAAAACTCCCATTTCTATAGCTTTAAGGTTTGCAAAAGGGCAGCTAGGTGGCGCAGTGGATAGAGTCATGGGCTTGGAGTCAGGAAGACTCATCTTCCCGAGTTCAAATGCGACCTCAGACACTTACTAGCTGTGTGACCCTGGGCAAGTCACTTAACTCTGTTTGCCTCAGTTTCCTCATCTCTAAAATGAGCTGGAGAAGGAAATGGAAAACCACTGGAGTATCTTTGCCAAGAAAATCTCAAAATAGGGAAACGAAGAGTTGAACGTGACTAATAAGGACTGAAACAATGGCAAAGGTTTGCGAAGAGTTTTTCTCATGACTCTGTAAAGGTAATATAAGTATTTCTATCTCCATTTTATTAGATGAGGAAAACAGAATCAGAGAAGGGAAGTGACTCGTCCAAGGGACAGAGTAGAGATCACTAGGTCCTGTGTTCCCTTTACCATACCACTCTGCTTCACTTAACAATTTCTCCTGTCTTTTTTCTCTTATAGCCACATTCTGTACATCAAGAATGATCCCCAGGACTAGGAGGTTCTGCTCGAGCCTTTGCCACTAATTTACTGTGTGACTTTGGGCAAGTCACTTGACCTTTCTGTGAGTCTTAGCCTTCTCATCTGTTAAATAGGCATACTAAGACTTTGTACTTCCTGCCTCATGGTTATAGTATGAAATCCAAATGAGGTAAATGATTGTACCCTGGTGTAGTGCAAAGTGTGAGGGACCTGGAGTCAGAAGACCCTGGGCTATAGTTCCATATTTCTATTCACTGACGATGTGCGAGTCACTTTTCCTCTTAAGTTCTCAGTTTCTCAATCTGTAACTTGAGGGAGTTCAAATAGGTCTCTTCCAACCTTAATATATTATGATAAACATTATTCGACTGGGGGAAAAACCCAATCACCTGTTAGACTCTATAACCGTTCCAAGAGACAACTGGAAGAGGGTGAGGCTGGAAAGCAGCGTCATCGAATTAGAGAATGTCGGAGCTAGAAGGACCCTGGGAGATCAACGATTATTGATCAGCGGTTATCCGATTCCTTCATTTTGCAAAAGAGGTTCAGGGGGGAGGGGAGATGGGTAATGTCTACCCCAAAGTTCCACAGCTAGAACACGTCCCAGAGTCCCTCGAATCCAGGCCCCCTGACCCTTTCAACTTCTCAGCATGCCGCTCTTTTCTGTCCAAGTCAGCGGTCCACGAGCACACAGGGTCACCGCAGACGCCCCTGCTCCCAACAACCCAGCAGCCTCTTCCAGCACCATTCCCTTGGCTCTGCCTGGGGGTCCCCTTCTTACCCCTCCCCTTTTCCCCTGGGCCTGCGTCCTGGGGGAAGCGGGGAGCCCCAGGCTCTTCCTCCTCCTCCGGTTGCCCAGCTAGGCTCTCCCCAGGCCGTGCCCTTGCCTTAGTGACGCCCGTCAGGGGTTCTGATTTCACACCCTCAGCCCCTCCTCTCAGGGCTCTCCCGAGTCCCTTCTCAGTGGTAGGCGGAGTTCTGAAGCCGGCCCCCCCCAAGCCCCGCCTCCGTCCCATCCGACGCAGCCCTGGGTGCCTCGGGCCCGTGAAGGGCGGGGCCTGACTCCCCAGCCACACCCCCCTCAGGGCCACATTCCATCTCTCCCTCCCACCGGCTCAGTGAGGAGGGGCTGGCGGGCCAGCTCAGTCTCAGGCTACGCCCTCTCCCAGCTGGTCGGGAGTCCTAGGTTGGGGAACAGCCCCTGGGCTTGGCCAAGCGGGGACCCCGCCTTTCTGCTTTCCCCAGATCCTCCAATCTTATATTCTTTCTCTTCTCTCCCTTTCCGTCCACTCAATGGCTACAGGACAGCAGGAGGAGCCTTCTCTTGGAGCAACATCCCCCTCGGGTCTCTTCAATGGGGGTTGGGTGGGGAGGAAGGCGGGGTGGAAAGGAGATGGGGGGGGTCGAAAAAAGCGGGCGGAGCCTTGCGCGCCTGGCCGCGCCTCCTCCCAGCTGGTCTGGAGTCCCCTGGCTGGGCGCAGCCCCTGGGCCGGGCGAGTCGGGGCCCCGCCTCTCCCCCGTCTTCAACCCCTCCCGGCTGGCTCGCTCCCTCGCTCCCCCGGCGCTCGCGGGCGCTATAAGAAGGCGGCCCCGAGCCGGGCGAGTTCTTACCGAGACCTGCGGGGGGAGCGAGATGGTCAGCCCCCGAGCCGCAGCCGCAAGATGCTGGCTGGACAAGTCTTGGTGGGCTGGCTCTCTTCCTCCTCCTTCGCGCTGATGGTGCTGTTCGGCTCCCTCCGCCCCTCGGCCGCCTACTTCGGGTAGGTGCCGTTCGGGGCTCCGGCCCCTTCTCCAAACCAGCCCCCAGCTCCCCGCCCCTAGCGCGCCTGCCTGCCCGCCTGCGAGCGAGCGAGCAAGGGAGCGACCGCCCGAGGGAGACTCAGGCCGGCCCCAGACCCCTTCTTTCTCCTTCTATCTTTCTCTGTCCTTCACCTTCTCCTCCGCAGGCTCCCACTGCTCCCCTTCGCCACTGGGACTTGTCATCGGCTTCTTTTTGCGCCCCCTCTCCACCCCTAATCCTCCTTGCCCGTGGTCTCTGGTTCGAGGCACGGAATTGTGCCCGGGCAGGCTGGCTCGCCTGTAGTCTGCTGTTGTCCCCGGAAACTACAGAGCTGGTGGTCTTTCCTGCTCCGACTCCTCCCCACGTCCTGGTGAAACAGGGGTGCACCGGCCGTGGACTGGGGGGGGTAGGAGAGCTGAGTGTCCTCTGTCTGGGCGCTGGTCCTGCAAATGCCCTGCAGGCAAATCCGTGTCCGCCCCACTTGCCCTGAGCTCGCTCGCTTCCCTGGGAGAAAAGAGAGCGATGGGCTTCCAAGCTGAGGTGGGACAGCCAGCCCAGCCCAGCCCAGGTGGGCAGTCTCCTCCCGCCCTCCCCCCCCAATCCAAACACCCCAAAACGTGGGAAAGACGGGTTGAGATTAACTATGCTAATGCTGAGAACTTGGAAAGTGCGAGGGAAGGAGTGAAATGGGATATACTGTGCAGATCTGGAAACCATAAGTTTTTGTTATTATTTAGTTTACGCTTTCTTTCTGGTGACTTAGAAACTATCGTGTGTGTGTATGTCTTTCTGTCTTTCATAACTGAATGCAAACTCTCTCTCCCAGGGCTATATTAATAGTTAATCATCTGCAGCAGGTTGTGTTGCCTGGAGCGGTTTGTTTGTTGAGCGCTTTTGTCACAGAGCGTGTTTGTGTGTCCTTGTGTCTGTGTCTCCTACTTGTCAGAGGATGGATTTCTCTGTGTGTGTGTGTGTGTGTGTGTGTGTGTGTTCTCGAAGACAGTAATGGGCAAATGAGGAGTGGGAAGTTCCCCACTCTCCTTAGCCTTTTGCAAGGCTCTGGGATGCCAGCCTGGATCAGATCCTAGCCGCTCTCTCCGGCCCTGGCCTTCCAGGGGGCCTTGGCCCCAGAGCCCCTTACGACCCCGAGTCCGACCCGGCCTGTTGGGGCGCAGTGGTTCGGGAGGGCAGGGGGCAGCGGGGTGGGGAGAGACCAGTCCAGCGCGCTCCCCATTTCCCCGGAGCTATCTGCCCCCCTCGGACCCGAGCTCGCTTGTTCACTCTCTCCCCTTTCTAGTAGGTGTGGTTTTGTTCTGCGTTTGCTATAGACACTCAGCGGAGAAAGCTCGGGGGATGGACGGGAATTCTCTTCTGTTTGACTTTTTCCAAGCAGCCGCAGACTCCCCTCCCCCCCCACCCCCAAGTTAAAAAAAAAAAAAAAAGACGTACAAAATCCAGATGTTCTTTGTACTGTGCCCCAAAGGAAAAAAAAATAACTCCAAGCTCGAAGAATTTGTTTTTTCTTGCCTCCCCCCCGCCTTTAACCTCCAGGGAGGGTGTCTGTCAGATTTATCATTGATATTACACACTTCATAACCAAATAGTTCTGCCATTCCATTTCCAATAGATTTCGTTTCCCACCTAGATTAAAAAAAAAAAAAACCTATTTGATTTTTTTGAGCTTAATTCCTCCACTCGCACTTAGCTGTGTCCCAGGGCAAGTCACCGCCACGCCTCCCTCAGCCTCAGTTTCCCAATCTGTAAAGTGAGGACAGTATAATCTTTGCACATACCTACCCTGTAGGGTTGTGGGGAGCAAAGGACTGGAGAAACTGGAGATAATTACGATGATAATTGGAGTCCGCCGCCGGACACCCCCCCCCCCCAACCACGCCCTGGGGATGGTTTTCTGTTCTGTTTCCTTTGCGCTGGCTTGGGGCTCCAGGACCTGCTACATAATGCCCAAGCCAATCTTCGTCCCCGAAATTCCCAGATTGTCAGCTGGGAAGGACCTTAATAACCCTGATGGGGAAACTGAGATTCAGAAAGGGGCAAAGGACTGGCCCAAGATTATGCAGCAAGTGAATGGTAGAGCCAAGACCTGAACTTTGTCTCCAGGGTGCTTTCCCGGACGCCAGAGACTCTTAGAAGGGGGCAAAGTTGAACCAACCTTTCCAGCCCCCTGAGGGGCTCCTTTCTCTCAAGCCCCGTCAATTTTTTTCCAGATGAGGAAACTGAGGCCCATCTAGATTAAGTGACTTGTCCAAGGTCACTGCAGCTAAAAGTCTGGTTTTAATTCCCGACTGAGAGTATTGGCGTTGGAAAGGGAAGTGAATAGCTGAGCAGGGAACTCAAACCCAGGTCTCCTGATTCCCAGTCCAAGACTTGTTACCCTACACCCGGCTGCCTTACGCTTCAGGGCTGGGCAGGGCAGTTCTGCCAGCCCTGAGCTTCCTGTGGGGTGTT